TAAATTGTCTATCTATCTATCTATCTAAGGCTATTAGAACACATCAACATTACATCTGTTTTTTTTTAATAGGTGATAATGAAATGGTAACCCTATCGCTATCGCTATCGGTATACGCTAGCTGGGCACCAGTGAGGGATGATAGGTGACGATGAAATCAGGTCAGTTGAACGATGGGCTATCGTGACAAATTTCACAAGAATTAGGCACGATAGTTTCCAAAGGGAACCGCGTAGAGGTCGACCTGTTAGCAATATTGATAGCAATAGGGCTATCAGACCCCATTACCAACAATCTTTTTCCCCTCAGATAACAGCTGTTAAGACACGTGTTAACACACGTTATGTATTATGTTTTTTAATGGAAACAAATGCAACATATTTTTAATTACCTCATTTTAATAACTATATTATAAAAAAAAAAATAAAGATCCTATTAATAAAATAAATGTGAAAGTTAGTAGCGATGGATATTTCTTAGTTTTTTATTCAAAAACTACTGAACGGTTTTGATCGAATATATATAAAAAAAAAATGCGTAAAAATGTTTGTAAAATAAATAGATACGTTATTAGTTTATGTTTATTTAAACAGTCTATCGGTCAATTAACAGCCTTCATTTATAAGATTGACAAATTACGTTAGCTCGCCACTTTCACATACATAACTTTATTAGAACTACGTATGTGACCCTGAGGTCAAAGAATGTGAGGAATGAAAGCAATAAACATGACCGATTGAATGATTGATGAGTGTATAGGTCATGTAACGTAAAGACGTGAATCATAGATTCACTGCGCTCAAACTCATCAAGTGATCACTTTTTAGGGGCCCGTACCTCAAATGGAAAAACGGTACAATTCTAGGAACACTTAGCTGTCAGTCTATCTGTCTATCTGACCTTTTTTTTACATATGTGTAGAGGTATCAAGCTTAAATTTAAATAAAATACTCAAGTCTGCAGTACCTTGAATTCGGGGAAAAGAGATAAGACCCCATCACTTTCCCATTGCCTATCCCCAATAATAATAATTATAAAAACAAAGAGAATTACTGTATGACTGCAACAACAAACTATTTCTGCTGATAACATTCTTTACATAGATAAGCTTCCCATAAGTAATTAGTAAAGACGACTTATCTTTCGCAATATTAAATATTTCCAATTTTTATTATTTATGCAACTTAGAATGGCAAACAAGCTGACGGTCCACCTGATGGAAAGTGGTAACCGTCACCTATAGGCATGAGCAGTACTATGGACATAATAGAGTATACTGTTTCGCCCATGATATCCCCCATGCGTTGCCATTCCTGAGGACTCAGGTGTTATTCCTCTATACCCAGTAAATTCACGCCATATCCTACCCTTCAAACCGAAACACAGCCATGCAAACACAACTGCTTCACGGTTGAAACACGAATAATTAGGATACATTACTTATTATCATCATCACAGCCATTATCTGTTCATTGCTGAACATAGGCCTCCTTCATAGATCACCACAAGGAACCGTCAGCACCTATCCACCTGCATCCCACTCCCTGTAATGTATTTAGTGACGGGTGGTAGGTGGGTGGGGGGGGCACTTGAGAACCTTCGTCTCATCCCCATCGGTTGTCGGTCCTTCGAGCTATGTGATCAGCTTCAGCACTTCAGCTTGCTTATCCTTAGAGCTATAATGGTGACTTTGGTTGTTTTGCGGATATCCTCATTTCGGAATCTGTCACGTCAAGCAACTCCGAGCATAGCCCTCTCCATAGCTCGCCGAGTGATTTGAAGTTTTTGCATACGGGCAACCTTGTAGGACCTTGTTTCGGTTCCATAGGTCATCACTGGCAATATGCACATAAATTACTCGTCAATTATAAATAACATAGTAAGTTCTAATGGTATTAACACAATCTGGTATGCGGGAAACCCTTCGAACATTCGAACATTTCACATTATGAATTATCTTGTGTTTCTATTATTAGACTCAATTATTTAAAGTGACATCGCGTGTGGTCATTGAGAGCATCTTGTTAATAAAATTAATAAATTTAACAAGATGCTCAATAAGAACTTTATTTTGTTTGAAAAGTAGTAAAAAGGATGGTACGTAATGTTTAAATATTGTTCATACTCTTCACCAGAATCTGGCATACAAAATTCATTTAACTGTCCTATGAACAAACAGACAAACGAAAAAAAAAATAGAATGTTATATAATATATTTATAGTGGCAACATATTTACTTCTTAATATTATATTACACAAATTACAAATAATCCAGTCAATTAATTGGGTCAGAATATTTTATATTAACATTAATTATTTAACATCATAAATATAAATTTAGCATTTAAAATAATTAAAACATTCATAAACTGAGATGATATGTCATCAATTCAACTCTAGTTGTTGCTATGGCCAATGTTGTACATTTTTTATTTCTTTGACAATGATCATGGGCACGAGGCCATACGGACAACAGAATTAATACCTATATAATATTGAAACCGCTGTTGTTAACTAAAATGATCCATTTTTTTCCAACCAGCCTTGCTTATTTTTTTGTTTTTATTGTCTTTTGTAATATTTGACAGAGATTATTTTGTTTACGATGTAACTACTACCCTTTATGTAACGATACTGTTAAATAATATCTACTTACAATGACATATGTTTGTAATTCTATAGTTATTATGAGTACATAGCAACTTTTATTCGGTGAATCAAGTAGAAAAACAAACAAAAAAATTAATGAAAAGAAACAGAAATAAATTATAAGTTATATATATTATAGAACAATTTTTTTATTATTGATAACCAAATGTAATTTTAGATTAAGTATAATTGAGATTCAATTGTGATAAACTCCGTTATTTTGATTTAAAAATTAAGCTAGTGAATCGATTTTGATAGAATTTATATGAGGCCAATCTGTAAGCATATCATTTTAGATAAAAAAAAAATACAATCGAATTGAGAACCTTCTTTTTTTTTTAAGTTGATTGACAATTTTTTCTTCGAGATTCTAAATTTGTTTTGCATAATATTATATTTGACAATTTCATGCCTTGATTTCATATAATATTTTATTACTAAGTACATATAGGTATTATTTATGATCCATAAATGTATGTAGTCAACATTTATTTTTATCAGACGATAGCATTTATCGATTTATGTAGATATGCCATATCGCGACTATGTGAAGTTCGTCAAAATGTATTTTATTATTCTATCTATATATATTATATCTTCACGCCATCTTTTATGTTATGGACAGAGAATATTTAATAATAACAGCCTTATATGTTAATATATAGAAATATAGTACCACGTTGTTTTCGGAGACGAAATCGCATGACCAATTTGAATGTCTTCTAAATTTGTAACGTTTAAGAAATAGACTAGTTTTTATCTTAATAAATGGTATCATCATCACATCATCATCATATTCAGCTGATATGATATTAACTGTCCACTGCTGAACATAGGTCTCCTCCATAAGGGGGTTTTGCCAGCAGTTACCATACTTGGAAGGCGAGTTAGTAACCGCAGTTAGGCTTTTGATGTTTAGAGGGACGCTGCTGCCTGACCCTGGGCCATTGAATTAGTTCCCTTAGTCGCCCTTACGACACTCATGGGAAAGGAAGGAGTGGCCCATTCTATGCCGGTACTACACGGTAATAGGGGGAAGGGATTGTTAGTAATGGAGACTGAGAATCCCATTGCTAGCAATATACCAAACCAGGTCGACCTCCTCGCGGTTCTCTGTGGAAACTATTATGGTTAATTCCTAATGAATTCATCATGATGGGCTAAGTGGCCTGTGTTCATTCTCATCGATCACCCTTCACTGGTGCTTCGCCAGCGTATCCCGTAGACGCAGGCGGGGTTATCATACCATTTTCACTCATCAAAAAAAAAAGATACACCGTAATAGAGGGGAAGGGATTGTTAGTGGTGCGGTCTACTAGTCACATTGCTAGCAATGCATCTCGTCGGGTCGACCTCCACGTGGTCCCCCTTAGAAACCATCATGCTGAATTCCGGATGGATTCATCACGATGGGCTAACTGACCTGCTATTTCATTCTATTTAACTTATCATCTCTCACTGGTATACCATTAGCGCAGGCGGGATTACCATTTCATTATCATCTATTAAAAAAAAAAAAAAACTACACGGTAATAAATGAAATAGGGATAAACATTAAACAGAGGGCAAAACTACGTGAGCCGTTTCATATAGACATATGTACAAATGTATGAAGCAAATAATTTTGATAACTTGATAAATATTATCTTATGAAAGTTTAAGATAGCTAAATTAGTCACTTCGATTGTAGACGGAAAACAACAGGAAGTCTATATTACTAACATTGATTGTTAGAAGACTTGATGTGTTCTATGAGATAATGCGTATTACATCCTTTATGTTAATTCTTCTATTCTTTTAATTATTTACATACTATCTAGAACAACTTTTGAACAACGTGTGAACCCGTCATCTCTCGTTCTCGTGCAACTTTTGGTTTCAGACCCTTTTCAGATAAAAAATCAATAAACAATATTTTACAATCTCTTACGACACTCATTAAGATTTTATTTTCCCAAAAGCCACTAAGTATCTGTTTAATCTTCACTGATATTATAAATGTGAAAGTGAGTGTGTATGTTTGTTACCTTTTAGCTCCTTAACGGCTTAACGTATCATTATGAAATTTGATTTACACGTACTAAATGGAATGAAGAAGGACATAGGTTACTTTTTAACTCAGTAAGTGAAAGTATCTTGATTACGCAGAAAAAGTCAGGGGTGAAAGCCAGTAAACAATAATTGTTTATAAAAAATTTAAAAGTCAACTGTTGTTTTTAAGATTAGAATATATGGGTGCATCATGATAATTAATCTTATTCTCTTAACTTTAAGGTGCATAATTGAGAAGTCGCGTAAAAGATTGCCGGTAAAAACGGAAGAACTGAGAATTTCTCCTTTTTTCTTTCCAGGTATTGAACATCATAATCCTGGTTCTATACCGAACAGGATACAATGGCGAGTTCCTGGGGGTGGGAGGCACTTGGAACCTCAACGAGGAGAAGAATCCAGATGCCGAGATCGTCGCGTCTGGAGTTATAGTGGGCTACCTCATATACACACTGGTGCAAGTGGTCACTTATCTATTCGGCACCACTGAACACAAGAGGTGATTATAGTTTTTAGAACATTTTATTAACAATTTTTTTTTTTAATTTTATTAAAAAGTTTATTTTATTATAAACACTTAATTATGACTAGTGATCTAGGCCAGCTTCGCAAGGGGCAGATAGAATTTTCGAAAATAGATATTTCGAATTTCGATGTTTTTATACATCGAATTGATGGATCCGTTCGTATTTAATATATATCCGAACGGTATGAGCGATATTGAAATGGGTGATAACCTTTTCTTCGTCATCAATGTCCAGAGAAACCCAATATATAGATATCGAAGCGTTACAGATATTACCTATGCATATTAAATAGACCTTATTAGTATTTTATGTTCAATTAATAAATAAATTCTTAATATTGTGAAAGTGACTTTGTTACAATACATTTCGATGGTTCAGCGGCTCGTCATGAAATTTGAAATACATATAGTATTATAGAGAAGCACATAGGCTATCTTATATCCTGGTTACGCGGGTACAGTTACGATTAAAAACTAGTAATTAAATTAATAATAATTATTTACACAGTGGTGTGCGTGGACCTTACAGAGCTCTGTCAGATATCGTGATGAACTTCGTGGGTGTGTTCCTGTGGATCGCGGTGGGCGCTGTCGCGCTGCACTACTGGGGCGGATACCAGGGCGAGCAACAGTACCACTTCGTGTACTCCGAGAAACAAGTTAGTATACACCTGACTCTTTCCAACTCGTGTTTCTATCTCTAAGTAACTGTGCTTGTATGAGTGTGTTTGGATTTTTTTTAAAGTAATGAATAATGAAATTACAGGGCACAGAGGCATAACATTTTAGTCCTCAGAAATGGCAACGCATGAGGGGTACAATAGGCATAATAGTATATTCTGTTATGTCCATGGTGCACTTTGCATCAGGAGGGCCGTCAGATTGTTTGTCGTTTTAAGCGTCATAAAAAAACATTGAATGGTAACCCCGCTTGCGCTAATGGTAAGTGCTGGCAAAGCACCAGTAAGGAATGATAGATGGAAATAATAAATGTAGGTTAGTTAGCCCAACGTCAATGAATTCACTTGCAATTAAGCACGAACCTGACAAGGTAAACTATCTGCTATCGATCTTGACTTGAGGGTTGTTACATTGCAGTGAAGTTACAAAGCACGGAGAGAAACTTAACATATTAGTGCTTAGGAATAGCAACTCATAAGGGAGCAAAGGGATTTTTTTATGGGTGAAAATAGTATGGTAGCCCCGCCTGCGCTAACGGTATACGCTGGCGGAGCACCAGTGAAGGGTGATCGATGTGAATGAAAACAGGTCAGTTAGCCCATCATGATGAATTCATCAGGAATTAACCATGATAGTTTCCAGGGGGAACCACGAGGAGGTCGACCTGGTTGGGTATATTGCTAGTAATGGGATTCTCAGTTTCCATTACTAACAATCCCTTTCCCCCCAAAGGGAGCAAGGGGTTATTATGTGAATCCCGTGTCAAGCTTATGTTCTTGTCTAGAAATAACTGTATATGATGGTCAGTCAAGTTGTATGCCATTGAATTATATTATGGTGTTATTTGTGAATTATTTGTCTGATAAGCACGGATTTCATTTTTGTCATTAGTGAATATCATGTTATTTTAACTATATCTATCTATATCTAATACTAAAAAGTATTGTTTTATATTTTCAGGTGGGTTTGGCGGTTGGTGCGCTGTGCGTCATACAGGGTGCGGTCTACTTATTGGATACGGCACTCTCAGTCATTCACTTCACGAAAGAGATGTAAAATGACAACATAATTATAATTAATTACCATATTTAAATTTAGTTAATGAGTAATTATGATGTCGTTGTAATTCCATCACTTGGAGACATGGCGGAATGATTTCTGAATGAAAGTCTTATTTATGCATTATGAAGTGTCACTTCTGTATTCACTTTACATTATCTTTTAGGCAATTTACAGGTTAGACAATTATAAATATCGACTCTTAAGCACCAAATATTTTTTTTATTTGTCAAGCACTTTCCAGCAAATCTAGTAGTAATCTAGTATCAATCTAAGCTTCACCTAAATCATTTTTGACGGATGACGCCATATTGGTGTCGTAAAGTGGTTTAAATGTATTAAATGACTATGATTATATTTTTTGTGCTCTTTATTATTTTTTAGTAATAGATTCTACAGTGCAAAGTCAGAGTAAGCCATTTGAACAAATTTACAATGATTTTTATGAATTCCCACCTCTACGATACTATTAAGTTACAAAGCTGTCTTGTATTTTGTAATAAAACAATGTTATATCGAAAATAAATTTTAATATTAAATATAAATTGTCTTTTATTTTACTAATGTAATTACTTTTTATAATAACATTGTAACAACTGTACATTATATATATATATATATATATATATATATATATATATATATATATATATATATATATATATATATATATATATATATATATATATATATATATATATATATATATATATATATATATATATATATATATATATATATATATATATATATATATATATATATAATCTTTATATTCTGGATATTTAATTTAATATAATTTCGATTTTACTCTCCAAAATGGAGCAACTTCGATTGTTACTAAATTAATTTAAATTATAGTAATTTCATTTTTTTTTTATTTAATATAACGAAAATAATAAAATATACCTACAGATGGATAACGAGATATATCATAGACACACTAGATTTCAAATATTAGAATTTAGAACATCAAGAAATAGAATTTGTTCTATAAAGGAAAACAGCTGTTGCTTATAAAAAGAATAATTAAAACCGGTTTAAGATTAACGATAATATTGCTTAATGTAAGACCAATAAAAATACAGACGAAATGAAAATTCTAAAATGCCATTCCATAAATATTTTATTATATACCTGATCATGTATTCACATGACTAAACTCTATCTTTACAATTAAAAGTTTAACTAAAATATTACATATGTACAGAAATCCAAACACTAAATTTATAGTAGTTCTGACTTAAATATATTGTAAATTTGGTTCATTCTAGTTCTTACTATAATGATTTCTCTGTAATATTGGTATTAGAGATAGATAAGTAATGATGCTTCAGAGCCCCCATTATGTGACGTTTGTTTAAAGTCATGTTTTAATGAATCACTAATGGTGGCATATTGAGGAAAAAGATACAAAAGTAATATGTTATGGTACGTCATGAGTTTGTAAAGTTCTATCTTGGTGCATATTGCATGTAATAAGAAATGAGTTCCCATTCAATTGTAAAGTTCTTACGATAAATATTTTTTTATTATTATTGATATAGCCGATTTGATAAACTTTATTTTGCCATCACGATCGTCACTTTTTCTTATATTCCGAACTTACAAACATTTAGGGTTATTCTGAAACATAAATGTTAGTTAGTTCCTGGCACTCTTACAGCGTAATCGCAATTGTCAAGATTTGATGTTTTTATATATAAAGATTAGGAATCCCGAATGGTCCCGAAACTGGTCGAATATTCCCGAATAAATTACACGTTAATTAAACTGGTAGTTATTATATTGAAATACGTGTGTATGAAGTATTTACGATATAAGGCATATACTTTTTCATGACAACGCATAAGGGATACCATGAGGAGTACAGTATTAAATTATATTACATGGCTTGTACTCTGTAATATTATTGAGAGGACCGTCACCTTGTTTGCCAATCTAACTACAATAAAACAAAAAAAATTTACCTCTGTCCCATTCGTGTACCAGAGGGAGACTTTGTACAAAGGTCGATTGCTTGGGTACCTCTATCCTATTCGTGTTTCAACCGTGAAGCAGTTGTGTATGCATGGCTGTGTTTCGGTTATGGCGTGAATTTACAGGGTACAGAGGAATAATATCCGAGTCCTCAGTATCATGGGCGAAATAGTATACTCTATTATGTCCATGGTACTGCTCATGTCTACAGGTGACGGTTACCACTTTCCATCAGGTGGACCGTCAGCTTGTTTGCCATTCTAAGCTGTATAAAAAAAAGGGGGATGAGAACCAATTATGAAAACTAAATCAAATGAATGATACCTTTGTAACACATTTAGATTTTACTACTGGGTCAGTCCCTGGTTACTTATTAACACAGCAGGGGGAAATAACTGAATCATTATCTAGGGTCAATGCAAGTAAAATTAACAGGTCATGGGTTAAATCGTTAAATGAGATCTCCTTGCCTCGTTCAGTAGTCATTAGTTCTATAACGGCCGAGTAGGAGTGTCCGACGAACCCTATTATTGTTTACAATAAAACTATATATTAATTACCATATTTCTCTATACAGAGAAAAAAATTGTGGGTTATCTTGCTATTAGTATAGTAACAGGACACGAGGTGCTGAAAAACCTTCTCATTTATAGAATTGAAAGCGTCCTACAAACCTATTTTAATTGTTAGTGTTTTATCACTTTTTTTTTAATTGAGAAATTCACGCAAAGGTAAAACATTTCAAAAAATAGATTTATTAGACATTTTCATGAATAAGGGGGTGAGAAGTAGAATAATATCTCGAGTCTTCCAAAATACTGTGCTCTCATTTTTCGAAAAATTGATGAGTGGTTAATACAGTATTTTGTTTTTTTAATTAAATTATAATAATCGTCGTTATACTGTTACAAAGTGGAATCGTTCGTCGAAGGCGGATTCTTTGTATTTGGCCAGCTGGTCACAATATCGCCGAGATCAAAAGAGTTTCTTTGCGAACTGGATTTAGAAGCCGCCACCATTGCGCCGTTAACGGACAGCGTAAGTTTTTTATTTTTTATTGTAATGATTTCAAAATTAAAAAATATAAAATAAAAGAAATATTATAATTAAGTGATAAATGTGACACGATACAATCCACTTATAAGGACCATTTTTATTACGACGGCGGACCATGATTTCAGTTTTATTTCCCATAAATTTTTTATTTATCTTTATTTATATATTTTTTTATTATATGTAATAGTAAACATGAATATAGTGGAACTAATTAGTTAGTAAATAATATTCTTTATTGTATAAAATTATGTCTGTTCAAAAATAAAAAAAAATATATTCGGGAATTTTAGTCATATTTGAAATGTAAGAAAATATGGGAAATATTTTTCAACTGATTTCGAAAAAAAGAGGTTCTTAATTCGGATTTTTTATTCAGGTCAAATAACAAACCTCGAAACATCGTCAATTTAAAAAAAATATTTTTTATGTGAAAGTTTCAGATAAAATATATATATATATATATATATATATATATATAAACAACTTTCAGATTGATCCCATAGATTTTTTTTAATCAAAATCGCTTAAGTAATTTACTTTTTAATCGAAATACCATAATTACCATAATATACATAATAGTTTTAGCATAATTGGAGCCTTCTTAATGTGGAATATTTTTTTTTATATTCTTACAATTTCTAATGGTTTGATTAAGAATCTAAGGAAAAGAAAAATATATAAACAACTATTAGGTCCGCTAGTTAAGGCTACTTATTAATAAATATTAATTACGTGCTAAATAACATCTCCATACATATTCACATTTTTAATGCAAGCCGTTGTGTGACGGTAATAAAAGTACAGTGACTAGCATAGTAACTGGTAACTGCAACTTTCCATTGAAATTGCGATGACCATTGCTGGTTTTACGTGTGATGCGATTCCATCGAGACCTTACGACTGATAGAGGTATAGAATAAAGAATATACTACGAAAATAATACATTTATAACTGGACGATTTCGGTATCTAGGAGATATATAAAGTAAATTGATATGGGTGTTTTATTTAGGGCAATAGAAGTTATAATTTTTAGTATTTTTGTCTTTTGACATCATGCAAAAACTACTGTACCAAATTAGGCGCGGTTTTCATATTAGTTTCACGGAGAGTTTACATTTAAATTAAGTGTATGTTATATATCTTAAAACGCCATCTAGAATTGGTTACCTACTTTAAAAATCTACGCGTAAAAAGTTGCGAGCAAAAACTTAAAAAAAGATACTTTTTACTAATATTATAAATGAGAAAATCGGTTTTTTTACCAGTTACTCCAGTTTGTTACTCCTTAGAATGAAATTAGGTATTCACTATATGGGATAGGAAAGGTCATAGGATACTTTTATCCCAGTCACACGGACGAAATCGCGGGTAAAAGCTGATAATGAAAACATGGCAAAACGCAATGCGTGCTACGAGTTAGCCGCGTCAACGCACTCCGTATGTACCAGCATTGTGTGTGAGCTGCCGACTGGAATTTGTTTTGGTCCAGCGTAGTACTGAGTACCGTTGTTTGTTGAATGAATACAGGTTGTACAGAAGTAGTGTTATTTCACAGTCGTTTCGGTGTAAGTACTTCATTACTTTTTAAACGACTTCCTAAACGAGGTAAACGAAGTAATGTCTAAATTTTTTATGGCTATAATGACATCTTTTAATGGATGATAACTGTATGGTAACCCCACTAGAATTATCTGTATACGATGGCGGAGCAGCGATGAGGATTGATTGGTGAGGATAAAGGTAGATAAGTTAGCTCGTTGTCACGATTTCATCAGAAATATATACCAAGATTTTCAGCAAAAGTTCACTAAAAATTTTTAAAAATCTTCACCATCCTATATTATGTGATTATGTCGCCAATTTTAAGCTAATTTTCACAATAACTATATAATAAATAAGGTAACATAATACACGAGAGTAGTGTTGGATTCATATTAATTTTATAGGGATTAAAGTTGCGTTTTTCTTGCGGATCTAAAAACTGTTGCGAAGCAAAATCTACTTGTAGACTCACAATTTTCCGTTCTTAATTTAAATATTTTCTATCCAATATGTCAACGAAGCGTTTATCAGCGTGTACACGTTATGTATCCATGATTGTTGTAAGGGGCTTAGCCCCTTACAAAAAGTACAAACAACCGATGATCGACCACTTTCGTTTATTTCAATAGATATTTTAGACCGTCTATTTTACTTACTCTTTGTCCTTTAACTTGCACTCTATCCCTAAATATACCAGGCATCCCGCCACCCATAACAAATAGCGAGGACGGAATGTCTGAATATATGAACTTTAACTAAAAAAGAAAATACATATCTTCTCCGTTCCTGATTTCGGGTTGGACAACAGACAATTCTGGGATAGGCACCTCCCCCCCTTCACTATTACGCCTATATTGAAGTGTTTTTTGGCGAAAGAAAATAAACTTGTGACTAAGTTCTTATTTCTTGGTGAATCTTTCCTTGTTTTCGATATTCTGATTCTTGCCACCAGTATTTGACAATTTCTTACGCCCTACGCCCAAATTATTGTAAAATTTTATAGAATTATAAATAAATAATTTATTCTATTTTTCTGCAAAGAACACGATTAGCCGCGATAGAGGTTATTTACCTCTATCTCTTCCTAGTCTATGGTCAGTGTTGATGGGTCGCGCGTGCATAGAACTCATTAACTGTAGGACGGTAAGGGACTCGCTATTAGCATAAAAAGTAGGTGGCTCTCTTGACAGTTCAGTTATTTAGTGACTTTAAATCACTTGGTAATAGCTGTGAGTAGTTTTTAATGCGATTTTCATATTATACGGCGTATAGCTTTATAATAGATGCGATTTTGTCATTTCAAAACGCCTAATGAACTTTCACTATCCATTCTTTTACATAGTTTTGACAGCTCGACTTCTCATACGACTTTGTAGTTGCATTGGTTTAACACACTTCCCTATGTTTCGATGTTAATGCTTTCGACATTTGGTCCACAACGAACAATAGGTATCTTGGATTAATTAATAGTGGTATTATTTATCTTAATTTACGTGTGTCAAACTAAATTCCATTATTTGCTATTCTACCTTTGATTCGGGGGCTTATTAACTTTACTAAGTAACTTGAATATACAAATAGATTAATTATAAATTAAAAATTGTGAAGAGAAATAAATCGATTATTATTATTATAAATATAGGTAAATAGTTTATTTTAACTTCAATTAATTCACTAAATAGGCCATATATGTGATTACAATGCGTCCAAATAAATAAAGATATTACCTTAGTTTTCGCGTGGTTTATACTATATCCAGTAAAGGGGATAGTGTCATTTGGACAAATATAGGTCAGAGTAACAACCTTCGTGAACGCACCCCCGACCACTGCAGGAGTTTTGGCGCCAAAACTGGCGCCACAATGGCGGCGTCGCGTGGCGCTCTGCACGTTTGGCTGGCTGTGTATAAACTAAACCGGGACGCTATGCGATCAATCCCAGATATGTAGTTGTACTTTTCGAATTATGAAGTACAACTGTTTAAAATTGACATAATCGTTTTGCAAATTAATAATATCGATGTGGCATTAATTCAAAAGGAAACAATATATTTAAGAAATAAACTTGAACAGACTTGAACGTTTAGCTTTTTAGTTTGTACAGGTTTAGTGAATATTTTAATGATTATAACAAACTACGTATTCATGAAATTTTGTTAAGTTTAATGTACTTTACTCAGGAAATCCATACAGATTTTGACACTACCGTTATGAGCTCTTTATTTATATGAACTATCTAGATTGCGTGTTGTAAACAAAATTTATATGTCAGAATCGAAGAAAACATCGAAGCAGAACACAATTTTTATATATTAATATAAAATTTCCATATGTGTATGGAAATTGTAATAGGTATAATTTTTTGATAAACAAACCTTGTATTATATCCTAAACTATAGAATTAGTCCGGGTGCGCGTGAGTAAGTAACCGCCACCGGAACAATGCCCCATACTGCCTAATAACATTTGCCGTGAGCACAAAGACGTATTGTTCCAATCATTGTATGTGCATGTATCCTTAGTTATAATGGCTGCTTCGTAAATGGTATAAACAGCACGTTTAAATGCAGTGTGGGAGCAATAAAAATATTTCGAACCCACCAAAAATTATGTTTGAAAAGAATAGAGACTTTGTTCCGTGTTCAAATTAAAATTTTAAAATAATTTAGTAAATAAAAAAAAAATATCTAAACATTGACAATAAGTGTTTGTTTAATTTTTAACAAGTTATTAGATTGTGGCGTATATATATTGTATATATTACAAACCTTTATATATAACTAAACCTTTTGAATTTCTGTAGAAAAATAAATTATGAATAACAGAGCGTATGCGAGGTTGCGCGCGCAGTATAAATTGCAAATTGTCGTTTTTTTTAAATATATAGACGTTTAAATATTGGATTAAATATTTTACTTACTCATTTCTCATAAGCTGATTCTCGTTTCATTAGCTCGGATTCAGGATATAGCGTAAAATAATAAAGTCGAATTTCAAATTTACTTTTTTTTAGTAATAAATAAATAATTCTTTTAAAAATAAGTAAGGTTTGCTTTTGAAAACTGTATAATACTGTAGGAATTTACTTATATTTTATAAAATTATTCCATTAAAAGGTTTATTGCATTAATTTTGTCGTAAATTTTCCTGTAATTTAAATTTACGGAGAATTTCAATATTAAATGAAAACGGAGACTGAAATTCGTCATTGTCTATGCGTGACTAACTGAAATCCTGATTTCAGTTTTGTTTTCAACGTAATTTATTTTATTACTCATAAAATGAATAATATAAAATAAATATAAAAGAGAGAATATAAAAAATAAAAATCAGAAAACACATTATTTATAAATTTATAATTTTTTTGGAGACAAGATCTATTTCGTTTTTGTTATATCTATATCGTTTGTGTTTTATAAGAAACGGGAATTAGTTATTT